TCGTTTCTCTCTCTCTCTCTCTCTCTCTCTCTCTCTCTCTCTCTGTTCCTTTAGCTTCGTAAAAATTTTTGGGCTACGTTCCGTAAAAATGAAGACTTGTTCACGGTTGAGACTGTACCATACACGTGGATGTTCTGTGTGTAGCGTACGTGCCTGTCGTCCATCCGTCCGTCATGAGTGCGTGCGCGAACGTCCGCACTCGTCGCTTGTTGGAGGATGCTCGCTAGCTCGTTCGCTTTGCTCGATCATGGGACAAAAGTCGGGTCTACGTCTTGTGGGAACGTAAAAGTCACGCTCGCTCAAAAAACCATGCGTCGTGCTACACGTATTAAACCGAGCGCAAACGGCTTCTTGCGTCGTAACAATTCTACCGAAGCGTCGTCCCAAAGTATGCGAAATGCCGAAAATGTTCTTCGAAATTGTCAATCAAGAATAATCGTGACCGTAGTGACAACAACTATAAGAAATCTTTGCATATATAACTGTGTATAAAAAGAACATTAGATGTTATAAGAAATCTTCTTGCTATCAAATTTAAATCATTTTTTTCCAATATAAACGCGAACAAATAGAGAAATTAACTTCAATAAAAAAAAAAAGAATTACTAAGGAGCAATTAAAACTATAAAAAAATGATGCATGATATCAAATCTCTATTATTACAATGCGTATCGCGTATTGGCACTCTAATATAGCATGCATCTAACTCGCCTATCAAAATCACACGAAATCAATTGGAAAGGCATTCGCGGAGACACGTACCGTTCTCATTATCGTAAATTCATAGCATCGATAATCCCGGTACTCGACGATGGCGAGAAGGATAAGGATTACGATAATCGGTAACGGCTGTATGATTAATGGCGCCCACTTTTTCCGCGTGCAGTCGATAATCGTCGCAATCTCGATTTCATGCGGGTAAGTGCACGATGCGCGCGGTAACGCATCATGCGCGAAGCTCTGATTATCTCGTAATTTGTGAAAGTATCTCACTTTTACGCGAGAGGAGATTCGCGCGCTAACTTAGTAAGAGACACCGTGTTATAAACCAGCACACCATCGGTTATAGTCGCCGTCGTTGGTCAGGTGCGTCGGTCTCGCTCTCCCCGCTGGATGCGCATCCTGACACGGTGCACCTGTCCGCCGTGGCGCGCAGGCTGCCCCGTTTTATAGAAGGCTACTTTCTATATCGCCGATCTATCAAATTGGCTCCCGGCAGATAAGAAATTAGGGGAAGCGGTCGTGCCTTAAAAGCGGCCCGTGACGGGACACCCCGGCTGTTATTTGGCCAGCGTCACCCTCGTCTCGCTCACGGAATTTTACGGCTCTTCAGCTCGATATCACCTGCTGCTCGCTACCTCGAAGCAGGATCCCTAACTGATGTTTAAGTTATCATCGCTTCCTTGAAACAACGTTGATTATTTTCCAGCAATTTCACTTTTCGCGATGCACGTTATCGAGATTTTATCGGAAGCTCAAAGCGAAAGTGAAGTAAATCTTCTAATATCCTTTTTGTTATGAAAGAATTTACACATCACGCGCTTCTTTTTCTCCAGCTCTTTCACTCGCCTGCGAATTCCATCGTTTCGCGCGCGAGGGAACATTTAAACGTTCGAGACACTCGCAAATATTTGCGGAAGAGGACAAAAAAAAAAAAAAAAAAAATAACTCGCCGGCGGCAGCGTCTTAAAGACGGAAACGCGCGTTGTGGGATAATAACTTGATTACGCGGCGCGTTTTATCGAAAAATCATAAAGCAATTAATAACGTTCATTAGAGACGACCGCGCGCGCGATAATAATTCCGTTTGATAGGTAATTAGACGAGGGAGCGAGTAATTGCGTTAATTGAGACCGAGACCGAGCGCACGTTGCGCAAAGCTTGGCTAGATATATGGAACCGTTCCACACGCACGCCGCAGTCCGTAATCGCTCTAA